TCATTCTGAGAGCTTTGGTGGAAATGCCACAGGTGATGATGTAGCCCAGTGTGTTTTCTGTCAATTTTCAGAGAGCCAAATTATCTTGCATTCACTCTGCCACGCTGTGAGTGCTGAGATTCACATCCTCTCCCTCTACCACCTCAGGCATCTGTGTATTCCATAGTGGATCCACACTGTGACAGAGTCTGATACTTGTTATTAGTATGGTACAACAGCCCAATCTAAAAACGGTTCTACAAGCTTTCTTGCTAATTGGAGTGTAATAGGTGTGGCCTGGAAACCCACATGGATTCATTTGGCCTGAGTCTGGCTAGCTGGCTGCCTTGCTTTAACGGATATATTGCCAGATTTTGATGCTGTTTTTCATGCTGACCACTACCTCAGGTAATCCTAATAATTTCAGTAAGGCTGCTCAGAGACAATTTTGCATATGATTATGTTGCATCCTGAAGAAAGAAAAACTAAACAAAACACCACAAACCTGTTTGTTAGTAAGACTCTTGCTGTTCTGCTAAAATATGGCAATCCAAAAGACAATTTATGTTGCAGAGACTTGACATTTAGTTTCCAGGACTGTAAAATAAAACCCCAGCCTCTACACTTTCTGCATCTGGTTGACATTTGAATAAAACTGCCAGAGTGCAAACAAATTTGAGAAAACATCTCCAGCAAACTTTGCATTGATGCTAAAAATACTCTTGGCTAAGTTACTTTTTAAGGCCATATGTTGAAAAAAGACGAAACCCCGAAACTTCACTAGAATTTATTACAACAAGAGATTTGCCAAACTACTTAAGACATTTGGGAAGGTTATAGTGAAGTATATTAGTTGCTGACTTGACAATTTGCTGTGCTCACTGCTTGCATAGTGGATTCTTGATATTCATGCTGAGAGCTGGTCCAACTTTGTAGCACATTTTAGCAAGAGACCTGCCAAATGTCTACTGGCCTGTTAAATGCTGGCAAACCAAAGGTCAGCCTTGTTTATGAGCCACAGCAAAGATGCTATGAATGGCACACAAACACTCCTCATGCCTTTTTTTTTTTTTTTTTTTTTAAAATTGAAAATTTTAGCACAGAATTGGATGGGGATGTGTTTAGACTAGTTTTGACTTAAAGTCTATCTAGGTCTGCCCTCATATACCCTGGCCATGAATCTGGAGGCTGCAGAAAAGGCAATTCTATTTTACTGAGCTGTGTTTCTTCTTGCTTCAATGACTGACTGCCAGGACTGTATGGTCCTGTTTTCAGAGGCCAAATTATGCCCCCTTGGTACATCCCCAGTGAACAGGCAGAGTCTCCAACCACTGAGGGCTAAATTGTCCTCCTCTTATACTTTATTCCTCTCCCTTCATGGGAGCTCATCCCTTCAGCTGCCAGGGTGAGAAGCATTGTAGATGGGAAACTCTGTGGCACCCTGTGCTGAATGCAAAGCTGTCTGTGTCCATGTGAATCCTTCCATTGAAGACTCTGGACTGCCTGCCCGACTTTCACTAGTTGTGTCAGAAATGGCAGTTCTGCTCTGTTCATCTGAACCGCTTTTGATATCATTCCAGTTTAGTAGGAAAGAAGATTATCCTGGTATGATAAGCAAGTCTTCCTATAAAGGGGCTAACCCTTGCCCTCCTTGCCAAAGCAAACAAAGGCAGTAGTATTACTGTCATGTTCAAAAAATATTTTCTTCCATATCATGCTATAGAGAATACATTACCTCAACATAGCTTACCTTCTTATAATACGTATTTATTATATGTATTTGAATGGCATATAGGAATAACAGAAAATCCATCCTCTGACTCTGTACCTACACATCTGTTAGGCAGAAATGAAATGGTCATTTAAAATAAAACAAAAAACCCACAAAGCCCCAGAAAAAAAACCATATCCAAACTGAAAAACTTGCTTATTTAAAACGTTCAATCAATTAAACTTATTTAAAACATACAATCAATTTAGAAAGGTCTATGTCACAAATAAAAATCTTACCCAGGTTTATTTTATTACTAGGGTTTACTTAAATACTATTTACAAGAGACAGATGGAGTCTTATATACATCTATATAAAATCCACATTTTAATGAAAAAAAATCAAAACTGCAAAAGAAATGGCGGTTTGTACAGATTAGATAACACGGGAAAAGGTGATATCTTCGTGCTTTTATTATTTTTTTTTTTTAATTTTTTTCCCTATCCCACTCCCCTACTTCCCGCAGTTGGGATCACCCGCGAAGTGTCAGCATCTTCGCTGCAGCGAGCGCGCGGTAACGCGCGGCGGAGAAGCGCTCCGGTCGGGCCCGGGCCCGGTCCCGGTCCGGGTCGGGGCGCGGCCGCGCAGGCACGGCGGGAGCCCCGCCCGGGCACCGGCGCCCGGAGAGGGCGAGGAAGGGGCCGGCGGGCGGAGCGCGGGCAAGGGCAGCTCGTTTCAGATTAAACGGTGACATCTCTGGCATAACAAGCGGCTGGGATCGTCCGCGTTTGTCATTGCAATCTGCCCTCGACGCAGGGAGAGAGGGCAGGATCAAAGCATTCCTCCGGGGAAATTGCGCCCGGAGTTGCCGTTTGGTTAGCCTGCCCTAACCTCGCTAATAAATTTCCCCGGGGGAAGGGAGGGCTGGGGAGGCCAGGCGCGGGGAACTGCGGCACTTGCACCTGCACCTGCCCGCAGAGCCGTGATGCAAAGTAGGACGGAGCGCTGGGCGCTCCGGGGCCGATTGCCTTGGGGCGAGGCGAGCGTGCTCCTGGGGAAGGGCTCTGCCGCAAGAAGCAGAGCCCCCGCCGCCGCCTGCGAGGCCTTAGGACTCATCCCCGGCCCTCGTCAGGGTCTGGCACACCCCCACCCCGCCTTGGGCTGCGCAGCTTGCGGGGGACCCCGACGGCAACGCACGGGGGGGATAGCAAGGGCGAGCGTGCGCGGCGGAGGCTCCGAGGAGCCCCGGGGCACCTCAGCAGCCCCGGCCGGGGGTCTCGGCCCGGGCCCCGCAGGCACCAAGGGCTGACGCAAAGGCGGGGAGTTGTGCTGGGAAGGCTGTGCGGGGACGGTAGATGCACAGCTGCACATCGCGGGCTTCAAAGACTCCCCTGCGTGGAAATCAGCACCTTTCCCAGCACGGCAGAGCGCCGCATCTGCCCGTGTCAGCTCAGCGGGCATGGCTGACATCACGAACCGAAGCGGAGCACTCTGTAGGAGAGGTAGTGCCTTAGATCGCTTTCCGCCTTCTCCCGCGGGTGCGTCCCGCCGCAGGACGGCGGAGACACCTCTTCTTCCAGATGGGAGAGAGAGGAGTGGCTGGAGGGGAGCTCAAAAGCGCTGCGAAGCCGAGCGCAAACAACAGGAGCAGAAGAAAGTTATACAAACACACTTTAAAATCGTGGCTGGGTTTCACAGCTCCCTGTGGATAAAGTAAACAGGGGGCGAATTGTTTTGTAATTTACTCCAGCGGACCGCAGAATCGTACCTTGTAATTTGGTGTCGGTTTACAGACAAAGGCGACTTCTATTTCCTAACCTAGCAGGTCCTTTGTCATGCTTGTGCCTTTTAAGAGGGACCCCAAGGGGGAAAGTGGAATTCCTTGGGTATTTGCCTTTTAGTCATGCTTGTAAGTCAAACAGTAGCCAGGCTTTCTTTTGAGATGAATAATACCTGCCGTCGGGGGATGCGCTTCCTTCTCCCCGCTCTCCCGCCGGTGCCGCCCGGGGAGGACAAGCTTTCCCGGGAACAAACCCTCCCTCCTTCCTCGCGGGTGCCCGCAGCCCACGGGGCGAAGCAGAGGGTTGGTGCCCTGTCTGGGCTGCAGCGGAGCTCGGAGCCCCGGGCGCCGGGCCCCCGCCGGCTCGCACAGCTGCCCGCCTGAGCTGCCCGCCTGCGACACTCGCCCTGTGGCCTTTGTCCCGAAGGCCTGCGAGGGCAGGGTTTTTCCGTGCCGAACCGGCGGCCGGCAGCTGGTCCGTGTGCCTACCGTGAGTGGATGCCATTCGTGTTTATTATATACACGAATACTGTCAGTATTTATTACAAACACCCGCTTCTTAGGGAAAGGGAAAAGTATTTCCCCTTTTTAGGAAACTAGTTTCGGCCATATGTTCTGCATACAGTTAGATTTCGATTAGTACACATTAGTGGGAACTAATGTTATCCCACATGCCTTTAATATTTTTCTTCCTTGGCAAAATAATTTTAAATTCACCAGTATTAATTTCCCCTGACCGGTGCTGAACGCACCGAGGTGCATTCTGTCCATTTCTGCCTCTTGGAAAATCCTATTTTCACTTGCAGAAGCACGGAGCTCTAGCCTCTCCGTTTCTCGACTGAAATTTTTTGGGTCACAATTTTGATCGCTCTGTGTTTGGGGAGCCAAAGGACATTACCCAGCTCCCAAAGAGCAGCCTCCATCAGGGAGGGGCGGGAATAAAGTTACTTATGTGAAATAAAGTTACTTAGGGGAAAAACCTCAGTGGTCCGTGGAAAACGTTCCCTCTGAAGGAAGGGAGTGCTAGAAAACAGAGTAATTTTCCTCGCCTGAATTCCCGAAGGAAAAGGATCCAGCCGCATTTCCAGACTCGGAAAAATAGTCCATTGCTACGTGGGCGAAGCAACGGGAACGACCGCAAACGAAAAACGAGGTGGCTGAGGATTTTAAACCCTCGACCCCGGCCCGCACCTCGGGTGGAGGGACGCCGCTCGCCTTAGGTTTCTTAGCTGTCGCCGTCACGAGCACTGCGGTCTTTTCTCGCTCCCTTTCCTCTCCCACTCCTTTTGTCGCCCCGCAGTGAAATCTCGCCAGCTCCTCGCCCACCCCCGCTTCGCTCCGCGCCTCCGCACCCACGAGCGGGCGGCGGGCACCGGCGCGGGGGCGGGGCCGCGGCCGCGCGGGCCAATCGGAGCGGCGGCTGCGGGGCGGGCGCCCAATGGGCGGCGCGGGCGGCGCGGCGGGCGCTGATATCGCGGCGGGCGGCGCGGCGCGGCTGATAGCGCGGCTGATGGCGCGGCGGGGCTGATAGACAGCGCGGCGGGGCTGATAGACAGCGCGGCGGGGCTGATAGACAGCGCGGCGGGGCTGATAGACAGCGCGGCGGGCTCAGCTCGGTGCCGTCACCGGCCCCGGTGCGGTCAGCGCGCACCCACAGACACGCACCGCACGGCCGCCCCGCCGCGCAGACATCCCCCCGACGGCGCAGCGTCCCGACTGTCCGGGAGCCCTACGCCCCAGGTGCGGGAATCGGGAGTTTCTCGCCTCCGGCCGGTCTGGGGCAGCGGCCCTTGCGAACTGCGAGGAGCTGAGGGTCTGCGTGTTTCCTGGACCACCTGTCTTTGGTAAGTGCAGTGTGCAGAAGCAAGGACAGAGAGGTCGTGTTGGAGCAGGTGGGGTCGGAAGATGCAACTTCCGCAGAGAGCTCTAGGAGCTCGTACTACCTTTGATTGCTGGAGCGGACAGCGGCGATGTGTGAAGTTCGGCTGTCCTCTGCCTGTCTCCCAAGTTTGAACGCAGCTGGCAGGAGGGTTCTCAGGGTCCTGTGATAAGCAGGACCCTGTTGAGACCGGACAGAGCCGTAGCGCTGCAGCGCGGGGCATTTCCCTGGGACGGTTCTTCCCGAATCCTTCGCTGCAGCAGACGCGCTCCTGCCTGCGGCGGACTAGCGGAGTTCCCCGCAAGCCGCGCCGGGAGGGAAGGGGGCAGAAAGGGAGGCGTCCGTCGTGGCTAAACTGGGCCTCGCTCGGGTCGGGCGCAAGAGACCCGAGTGGATGGTAAGGGGAAAGACGACATGCCAGGCGGGCCCTGCCGTGATTTCCCGACTGGGACGCATCTCGGCAGGGTGCAGGCGGGCACCTCGGAAGCCGGGCGTGCTCCGGCTGCCGTTCCGCCGCGGGGGCTGGAGGTCTGACCCCTCTCTTGCAGCTGTGCCGCCGAGGAGCTATGGCTGAGGAACGCGCTGGCGCCGACTGGGAGATCGACGTGGAGAGCCTGGAAGGGGAGCCGGACGAGGCACCCGGCGCTCCGCGCGGCAGCACCGGCCCAGAGGAGGAAGAAGAGGAGGAGGAAGGCGAGGAGGCAGCGGCGGCCCCGCGGCGGGGCGAACCGCGGAAGCTGAGCCGCACGCCCAAGTGCGCCCGGTGCCGCAACCACGGCGTGGTGTCGTGCCTGAAGGGACACAAGCGGTTCTGCCGCTGGCGCGACTGCCAGTGCGCCAATTGCCTGCTGGTGGTGGAGCGGCAGCGCGTCATGGCCGCCCAGGTGGCGCTCCGGCGGCAGCAGGCCACCGAGGTGAGGGGCGCGGGACGCGGCGGGACGGGACGGGACGGGACGGGCGGCCCCGGTCTGACCGCGCCCTCCCATCGCTCTCGTAGGACAAGAAGGGGCTGACGGGGAAGCAGGCAAGTCTGGAGCGCAAAGCCATCTACCAGAGGCACGTCCGGGCGCCCAGCCTCTTGGCGAAAAGCATCCTGGAAGGTAAGAGCATCCCCTGCTCCTTCGCGGCTTCCCTCAGCCCCGCAGCACGGCTGGCAGGGGGGAAACCCCGCTGTGCCCCAGGAAGACCCGCACCTCCCGTTCGAGGCGTGAAATGCAGCGTCCTTTCCCGAATTAGGCGTTAAAGCGCGCCCCGCTACCAGCGCCGGGCGACGGAGGCTCCTGCCTTACGAGGTTGGAATCGATGCGGCAGAATTTCAGTTCCTTGCCCCCTCTGCCCAGAATAATGCCTGAAATGCTAGCAACGGTAGTTTGAAATTTGAGAGTTACTGTTACAAGCTGGCAGTCTTTACATGGTTCCCCAGCAGCGTTTTGCAGCGCAGGGTAATTTATTCACAGCGCACTTTATTCGCTGGCATTTTAATCAGCAAAAAAGTAAAGAGATTAATTTTTTCTTTTTATCTGAATGCCTAACACAGCAGTACTGTTTGCGACATTATCAATAATAAGATCTGAAAAATAAGGTGCTTAATTTTTTCACTGTTGAAAATATTAACTGTAGAAGAATTATCTTTTAAAGATTGTTATTTCAGTGAAAGGATGCATTTCTTCCCCCAGTCCCGTTTGGGACTGTGCACATATTTATTCCTATGTTTGGTTTAATTACTTTCCGTACCATATCCCTATAAATAATTGTACTTCTCAATTCAAATTATTCTTTCTGAAATAGAAAGCTCTTTTCTTTGTCTGTTCAAGCTCAATTAATATCTAGTCCCTTTAAAAACCTCTAATTTACATCTACAGTTCTTTTTTTTTTTTTAATTTTTCTGTATTCTTTCCTCTAATTTATTATAACTATCTTTTTCTTTTCTCCTAGTTCTCCTTGGGATTTTCTACCATCTCTAGCAATGTGTACATAGTGATTCATCTTTAGAAAATAGAAAAGACACCAGCTGTAGATATAGGTATCTTCCTTGGAAAAGGGGAAACGTGTATGAGAGGAATGGGGGTGAAAACAGGTAAAATCCTGTTCTCCTAACTCATGTAAATATTTCCATTAATTCAATGGAATTGTCTGGATAGAGCAAACAGGATTGGATCCTATCGATTATATTAAATTAAGCCAGGTAGCTTGGTAATTGAATGCACTGGACACTGAATTTCTATGGTTTATTGAAGTTCTAGTTCATAAGAAATAAAATACTTGAATGCTTTCCATATGTGTTAAAAGTGAATGGTTATCTCTCTCCTTAAGCCTCATTGATGGAATACCAATCCTAATACACAGTAGGGCTTTGCCTTTGCCTTTTTTTTTTTTTTTTTTTTTTTTTCCCTTTTCTCCCTCCTCAATCTGTTTGTCTGGAATTGCTTTTTTAAAAACTACTAATCAGCTAGCTTTGATGGATACTAAACATGTCAAAAAAGAAGGGCTTGCTTATCTGCACTGAGGAACTGACTGTGCCTGACCACTAAGCCTCTGTGTCATGGTGACTTCTGTAGGAGCTGATGGTGACCAGGGTCTGTGGCAAGAGCACAGTGCTTGGTGGGACTGGCTCATGAGGCTGTTTTACAAACGCAACTTTAATGTTTAAGTGGCCTAATTCCTAATGCTGCTTTGTTGTTTTAGGTTACCGCCCTATTCCAACAGATTCTTACCTGGGAGGGAATTCACCCTTGCCACCTCCTGTAAGTGACAGGATGAGAAAGAGACGGGCTTTTGCTGATAAGGAGTTGGAAAACATTATGCTAGAGAGGGAGTATAAAGAGAGAGATATGATGGAAGCTACACAAGCAGCTGCCCTTTTTCTCCCTAACCGTATGGTGCGTGGAGCTGAATACAATTCGTATAGAACAGCCTTCAACACTACTCAAGGTGATAATCCAAATAAGGAATTTTCTGATTTTTTACCAACCTGCCTTGACCTAACAATGCAGTATTCAGGACCTAGCAACATGGAACTAATTTCTTCAAATGTCAGTGTAGCTACTACCTACAGGCAGTATCCCCTGCCTTCTAGGTTCTTAGTGTGGCCAAAATGTGGCCCCATTAGTGATGCTCTCCTCTACCAGCAATGCCTTTTAAATGCTACTGCTGTCCAAGCTCTCAAACCTGGGACAGGCTGGGATGCCAGGGTCTCACAAAGTCAGGACTGTCCAAACACTGAGCATGACATTATGCCTCCAAAAATGGAAAATTCATTTGTTCTGACTCACACGCGAGACATTCAGCAGTCACGTAATGAAATACTGTGCCTCCATCAGGAAACTCGTGAGAGGTCAGCTTTCTCTCCTCCAAAAAGGACTTTATCCCAGATTTCTGATAAGGGTTCTCTGACTCCTCAGGAGCAGGCATTAAGCAAGATCAGCAAAAACAGTACCAAACCCCCTCCACCTCTCAAGTACAGTGCATTTCAGTCACTGTTCCATCAGACATTTCCTGACACTCCAACAGCAGAGTTAAGAATGTCATTTGTGAAGGAGACTTTTGAAGATACTTCTAAGAAATTCAGGGAGTGTGCTCTTAAAGAGAATCAAAAATACAAGTTTACTGTAGACAAATCTGCAAAAGACTTCTTTGGGGCAAAACAGGCCACAACAAAATTTTCAACAACTGAGCCACTGTCATTTTCAGTTGAATCCATCCTTAAACGACCTTCTTCTGCTGTTACTAATGCCTCTGAATGAATGAACTTTATCTTCAGAGTAGAGAAGCTTTCTAAGCTTTGCTTTCTGCAGAATTGCTCCTGCCTGCAATTCTAAAGATTTTTAAAGAGGAATTTCTGCAGTAAATGGTAATGATTTCTTTTATTTCAAAACGATGTACATAAATATGCATGTTTTCTGAAAAACAAATTTAATTTTTTAAAATTAAAACTGCATGTACAGATTGTAAAGTGTTTTTATTTTAAGCAGCCCTTCAAACCATTCAATAAAATGAGTTTACTTACAAACATAGACTGATCTCTGTCATGTCTCTAGCATCTTGCAGGCAAGTATGCCCTACTTTCAGATGCGCTTTTTCTTTTATCTGCCATTATAAATGTACTTACTACTTAAGTTGCTAAGGTAAGCAGTCATTTCTCCTTTGAACCTCCAGCAATTATGAGAAGAGGTAACAACAGTTCATGTAGGCTAGTGTGAATTCACAAGACTTCTTATTTATGTAAGTGAGGTTTGGATCACATTCCATATGCCTTTCTTATTCTGAAGGGGGAGCGCAGGCCAGCACAAAAGACTAGTTTATTCCACACCTCTCCATAAAACTTCAGTTACTAAAGTGGGAGAGTTATTAGATTGGTTTTCAGGGGAATGGTTTCAGGGAACCTTTGATAAAAAGTCAACATTTTTTGAAGTTCGGTTTTTAAACAAAAGTCTGTTTTTAGAATCAGTTTTTATATTTTTTAATGTTCAATTCACTTTACTTCAAATTTCTACCCCCTTGAATACTTCCCTTCTGAGAACATTTCACTTTTGACCAGCAAAAGCCTGAGATTATTGTTTTCTGTAGTTAAAACATAATTGTAATTTGTAATTGAAATTACCCTCAAGCTGTAAAAATGGCACATAGAATCATTATGCTAATGAGAAATCAAATAATGGTCTCTCAGTTTTTTAATCCCATGTCAGTGTGTAGGGGTAGAAAATAAAGGTAAAGGAGAATATCTAACAGAAATTACCTGAGAACTGAAATTGCCTCAGGGTTATGGGAAAAAGGCTTTGCTAGATCTCATTTTGACAGAGGTTGAAGCTTTCTAAATTGGTGACTTTGTAAGTCACCTAGATGTTGCTGCCAGCATATCTAACTAGTGTTAACAGGCAATCCATAGTTACTTTCCCTCCTTAACATGTTAATCCTGCACACAGTGCTCATCCTGTTGAAAGGAGTTATTGTTTGTTCTTAATTTTCATGGTTTTCTAAGGATAATTTCTGCTTGGTATTTGTGAGCAGAATGTAATTTTTTCTAATTTTATTACACTCTCTGCACAGGTTAAATGCTTATTTTGCCTGTGATTCTGGATTCTGTAACTAAGTAGTCTCTCTAAGTGTTTGGTGTTACTGTTGGGAGTGGTGTTGCAGAACACCAGGACCCTTTTGGGGTACCGGAGGAATCATCTGTCCGGAGTGCTTTTCTAAGCCAGTTTGTTAAAGCAACAGACAGGTTAGAGAAAACATATTTTACATAATGTGTGCATTTTTACATAACACATCTTACATAGCTCATCAAAACTTTGTCAGGAATGTTAAAAAAGTTGTAATTTAAAAGAATCTTGGGCACTGGCTAAAGTTTCACTTTTCGAATGAAATATTTTCTTAGTGAAAAGTAGGTTTCAAATACAGTGAGAGACTTAATTTTTTCAAACTCTGTCCTTTATCCAGTTGCCATTAGAGGGAGTTTTAACTTGCTTGAGCTGAATCTGTTCGTGAATCTGTTTAGCAGTCAGACCAAGTTAAACAGCTTTTACCTGCAATAAATGGAGAGATATTCCTCATAATTCATATTTGTTTTCTTTCACCACTGTTTCCTTCTTTGGCTCTGTTGAACATTAAATGTTAGAAAACAGTTTTACTTAAGCAGGACTTCCTTTGTTTTGAAAAATGTGATTTGTTTTGGTTTTTGAGCTGTTGGTATAAACTAGGATCACAGATGAAAGAAAGTTCAAGAATCTATATACTTAACCAATATCAGATACTGGAATTAGTCCCACATAAATATTTTTTCTGCCTTACAATGTGTGCATCTAACATTGTTAGTCTTACATCTGAAATATTTTTCCAGGCAATCACTTGTCTTTATTCACCTCCTAATAAAAAATACCAGAAAGCAAAAACCCTCTGACAGACTGGTGCCTCTTCACCCTTTTAAGAAAAAAATCAAACTGAAAAAAATCAAACCCTGAACATATACTAAGCATTTGTATTTATAAGTATATATTAATATTTGTATGTACACACATATCATGGTTTAACCCCAGCTGGCAAGTATGCACCACGCAGCTGCTTTCTCCCCCACTCTCTCAATAGTGGAGAGAAGAATCAGAACAAAACCTGTAAAACTTGGGTTGAGATAAGAACAGTTTAATAGTCAAAACAAAATAACAGTAACAACACCAGCTACTATTCTGTAATAGTTGTAATGTCACAGCAATGAAAAGGAGAGAGGCAGAAGAATAAAACTGAAGAGGGACAAGTGATGCAGAATACAATTGCTTAGCACCCACTGACTGATACGCAGCCCACCCCCCAGCAAAAATCAGCCACTGGGCATGGCATTCTGTGGTGTGGAATGGCCCTGTGGCAGTTTGGGTCAGCTGCCCAGACCATGTGCCCTCACAGATTCTGGTGCGTTTGCTCAGTGCCAGAGCATGAGACGCTGAAAAGTCCTTGACTTTGGGGAAGAACTACTGAGCAGAAACTAAAACATCGGTGTGTTATCAACATTATTCTCACACTAAAATCAAAACAGAGCACTGTACCAGCTACTGAGAAGAAAATTAACTCTATCCCCCACACAAACCTGGCACAGTACATTGTTATATATATGTACATATGTCCCAGATTTTTACTCAAATCCTGGTCATCAGGAGATGAGCGACATTTCTACTACTATTTGAAAAAATTGAGATGAGACTTGGACAAATTGCCTTGATAACAAACATGTATCACTGGCATCTGCATTTCTTACAGTCACTTGTTCATGTCTTGCTACAGTTCCATTACATTACCCTGTACTTTTTTTCCTTTTCTTTCCTAGACCCTGAGCTCTACTTCTCATTCATCTTGAAAGCTTGTTGCATCCCCAAGTTTTTTTCCTTTTCTTTATTAAAAGTGTGTATAAAGTCTATTTGTCATGGGGAAGACGATTAGAAGCTTGAGCAAGAAAGCATATACTTAGCATATGATTTTCCTCACACAGTTTTACAGTGGTTGTATAGCACTCTTTAAGTCATAAGCTTCTCTAGAGCACAAGTAGCCAAGTGTCTACATCTGCTGATGCAGCTGTGCAAATTCATGGAAAAGAGGAGAAGGCATTGCTCTGAAATTGTCTAGCACTTACTGTAAGCCACTGTCTTGCTGGCACTAAGTCAGCTGGTAAAATATCTTACGGTCCCCTATACTCTCTGCTTCTTCAAAACAATTTCTGTGGCGTTTTTGGGTATGTGGATGCCTGTATCTCCTGTACAGTGGAACTAGTTTGAGTACACGATTCACATT